GACGGGGGCCGGATTCATTGAATTTACCTAGAGTAAATGCGGCCACGCCCCTACCTCAACCGATGTACCGAGATTCATCATTTTTGTTACCATTACCTTAACCACAAAAAAGGGGTAAATATGTACCCGTCGTTGAGGCAGGGTTTCGCAGGTACCTTACCTTCTCACAACTTGACCCAGAGGTGATGAATTGGCGCATGTTGAGAACACCGCATGACGTATTCGCGGTAAATAGCTGTCTCTCACTAGGTACTGAACGCGAGAATATGATATAATTCATAATGGATTCGATGTGTACATACAATAGAACATTCGACATTGAAATAGTAATTACAAAAAGCATAAACCGAAAAAAACAAGGCATTTGGGATAACATATAAAACCATTGCAAAGATATGCTTAGCTGGAAAGGAAGTTTTGTGCATCTCACTGACAAATCATGCAAGTGGTCAAAGAGCTATGAGTTATATCCTTTTCGAATATTCTTGTGGACGAGAGCATGTTGCACAATAGACAAACTTGGATAAATTAATCAAGTGCAAGCAATTATATCAGCTTCCCATAAGCGGATCACTAAAATGCTACTAAAAAGGTAAAAACTAAGTTTACCGCGGCCTTTCATCAAAAAACAGAATTGAAGTTAAGGGGGCTCCATACTCATTTCGCTCATTGATTGAGAGTTGCAATAAAATTCAATGTATGTATAAAACTTCAAAAAACACATCTTGGGCACCAGTCTCTTTCAGCACCTGCTTGTATTTTATTTTCAATCTTCAATGGCAGAGAGAAGAACATAATTTGATTGGGAAGGATTGCTGCTTTTTGCGAATCACGCAAGTCAATTGTATCAGTATGCAAATCCTCAAACACAGATATATTCTTTCAATTATGAATAATCAGAAGTGAGTAAGTCAAATCTTCAACTGTAGCCGTATAGAAGACGCGATCTCCAAGCTCGATAAGGAATTTCTCATTTGCATAAACTTTTTTATGTAAAGAGACTGATTTTCTGGAACTGAAATCTTGCAAATGGGCAAGGTCAAAAAAATTTTTTTTTCAACAGTTCTAAAGGATTTCTCACTTTTAATGGGTGCATGCCGCCTTATATGTGGATTTTGAGAAAACGCATATAAACGGATTCGAAAAAGATTCGTTAAAAAGGAACAACTTTTGCGGTAACAATATCATTTAAGCTCTAAATTCCAGATCTGCACGCTTTCTTTTAATTGCTTGAAAAGAAAATACAGCTATACTCTTAAACACACTCATGAGGTCATGATTAGAGTACTAACTAAACTTTGGGGAAAAATAAACAAAAACAGATCACACCTTTCAATAGATTATGACAGCTTCAAGGAGAAGGCAATTCAACTCGAATCTCTGCCTCTGGCTTAAAAGTTCATGTTATAAAAAAGCTCCACCTAACATTGTAGAACTATGCTGTATACTAACGCTACAGCTGATTTTTCGTAGAATTAGCAACTACAAAAATTAGGACATTAATCAATCTCCAGAATTTTGTAAAAAACCGATCTAAAAGCACTTTTCAAAAAGACATTAAAAAAACAAATTGACTAGAATGTGAGAAGCCAAACGTACTGGGAAAGTGGCAGGGCTCAATTTTTTTGAAGAGTAGATTTTCGAAAAGAGAACCAATTTTGGTTTGATAGTTTATTTCATGTCACAAGGAGGAAAAATTTGACCTCCCAACAGTTATTCCACCACACATCGTCAATGAGTTATCAACGTTTTTAGGCTGCTTTGTTGTCATTAACTAAAAAGTAATATTTTATGTACATTGCGTCGATTTATCGATTCTAAATATAACTATCATGTTCAAATCAAGCAAAAACGCTCTCATTTTATTTACAATTCATACCCGACGTGCACAAGCTAACATAGAGCTAAGAGTTACAAATCACCTTAGCACTTACACTATGTTGTAGAGCTTCGGGCGCTGTCCTTTTAATAGGTAATCTGCCAAATGCGTTGTCGTGTGCCAATTTGCTTTGGCAATGCCAAAATCGCTAATTTGATTTTGCTCCCAAAAATGTGATAGTCTCTCGAACAAACTTGCTAAAATATGACTTCAACGACATATGCACGTTGAAACGAAATTGGGGAAATACACCACAGTACGGCAAAATTGCATCAGAGCGTAAAGCAAGGTGAGAAATCCACTGCATATAAGGAACTTCTAGCACTGCAAGCACGTCATGAGACGTTCTCATGAACGCCAGT